TTTTTTGTCCTTGTGATAGGAGGATCTCTAACCTTTCTAGTTTCCTTCTTTATTGCGAGATTCCTTGGTGATAGTCCATTTTCCTTACATGTTTTGTCAATCGATTTCTGAACTTCATTTGTTTTTGTTTTCGTTTTTTCGCTGCAAAATGCCTGAGCCAATAATTGGGTTTCCTCATCAGTCATCTCTTCTTCAGTAAACTCCTCGGATGTCTCTTCTTTTTTTTTCTTCTTCTGTGGTAGTGTTATCTGCCCATTCATCCTGGAGTTCTTTTCCATTTTGATTAGTGTTTTGTTCTTCAGGCTCTTTGTTTGACTCTCTCATGTGGTCAATATGCTTATGAGGTTCCTCCTTATTGCTTAGACTATCAAATTTATTGTAAGTACTTGCATTTTTCTCTACGAGCATAATCTGTTTTTTAGCTCGTGTTCTTATTTAGTTGTACTTTCCATTGCTCTTCTTCTTCATGTCCTCTTTTAGAGTCTTGAAATAGAACTACTTGAAGATATTTGGGGTTCTCAATAGGGATCGGTAACTCTCCAGCATCATTTGTCAACTTTCCTAGTGCAATTTTATTTGGAGTTTTTGGTTGTGATTTGCTGCTAGAAATGCTCGCTCCTGCACCATTTATCAGCTTCTCTTGGGTAATTTGGTTAGGAACTGCTGGCTTTGGAATGCTGCTAGGTGTGACCTTTGCTTCCATTTCTTTCTCTTTCTCCATTGTAATTAATCCTTGCTTTGCAACTATTTGTATTATTTGCCCAGAATTAGTGCCTTCTGCATTAGGAAGAGGTTTATCAATACCAAAGATAGCACCTGTTGGTTTGTATGCTTGTTTAGGGGGTGCGCTCCTTCCTTTTTTCGGGACATTATTGTTATCTTTGCGGATTTGTAATTCTCTGCCCCTTTGAAATTGTTGGTTGCTAGCTACTTGCTTTTCTTTTGAAGTATTCTGATCTTTATCCTCATCATCCTTGGGCTTATCTTGGTTCTCTGTCATCTTCTCATTTGCCTCATTATTCTCCTTTTCCCAGCCTTCTACATTGATTAATTGAGTGCCCTAAAAGTCTACAATGAGTACAGTACTTAGGCACTCCTTCATATTCAATCTTTTGTTCGTGGCCTTGTAGAGGATTAGTTGCATTCCTTTGACCAACAAATACATGATCCAATCTAGGTTTGGTCAAATCAATCTCCACTCGAATTTTTGCCATACTTGGTCTAGTCCTTCCCTTAGTAGCAACATCCATTGCCAGAGGGGTTCCAATTGGGCTCAAAATTTGTTTGACATAATGCCAAGTATGTAGATGGAATAGAAGTTTTGGCAAGAGCACCCATACCAGAGTTATTGGACTGTCTTCTTCAGGTGTGAAGTCAGGGGTCCATCTGCTTAACCACATAGGCTGACCTTCAATTTCAATTACATGCTTAAAATACACAACTTTGAAGTCTTCTTCATTGTAGACGTCAATAAACACATTCTTGTTGTCATATACCCCTATTTTAATCGAACCCTTGATTGGAATAGTTTCTTTGACTGTTGCTCGGATGGTTTCGATTTGGGGTCGGGTCTTCAAAAATCTCCCATTGATGGTGTATTTGCATTCTTCAGCCATTATGCCATAATAATCTTCAGCATCGAATATCACCGCCGGCATCCCATTATGGGTTGTTATTTCAGCTTTCACAGTTTCTCGCTGACTGACGGAGCTAGGTTGCGATCCAGCTACATCGCTTAAGTAATTGTTTTTGGGTGAAATGATCTCATGGGAATTCATTTCTATTACTGACGGATCAGGTGGATGGCTTGGACGCGCCGGTACTAGGCCGGGCGTCCTCTCCATGAGGCGGCGCGTGGGTATCAGTCGAAGTAATTTGAGAGGAGAGTGTTTCTGTTAGAGATAGAAAGGGAAAGAGCCGTTGTCTCCTTGAAATTGCTGGCACTTATTAATCTTTATTTATCATAAAACCTACTTGCCTATTTTAATCTAACAATTGACTATTTAATTAACTAAACAATATATGTAAAGTGACTAATGTATTTTTGTGATTTTTAAATTTTAGAAATACAACTAAATCATGCAACTAAATGCAATTAAGATCTAAAAATATGATAACATGAAAACATAAAATATTTTTGACATTTTGTGATTAAAATTACTTCTAAATATGTTAAAAAGGTAAAATAAAAAAAATGTAAACAAATTAATTAAAATATAAAAAAAAATCCTAAAATTTTATCAAAATAATTCAAGCTATTTTGGAATGTTTTTAGGAGCAATTTATATCGGACAAAAATTACGTGCTCACAATATGTATCCTTTTGTCTTTCAAAATAAATTAGAAAAGAAAAAAAAAATCTCAGAAGTGCTGAAATAGATTCATGTAATTATGGTATAGGAGAGTGCTAGAGTATATTAAAAACAAAAAAATCTTTTAACAAAGGAAATTAAATGATTTTTTATTTTTGCCGACGAACATGACTATTCAATTACATTACATTATTGACTGAGACAATTTTAATACGCAGTGGTTGCTTCAAGTAAATATTAGCAGTTGCATATCATAAATGTTTTAGTAATTCCACGGTGTATACATAAAGCAATACGCTAGTCACCCAAATGATTCTGAATTTTTGACTATTAGAAAATCCTCATGTTCTAAATTTTGGTTAACCCACGTCATTTTCCTACTTCCTACGTCATCTTACCAACTTGACATCGACTAATAAACTTCTGAATGAAAAAGAATCAGAGAAAAATCCCTCAAATGTCAGAGGATGGTATACTAGAAACAACTATATGCCCCGTGTTTAGTTGAACAATTGTCTTTAAAATTTCTATTAGTTTTTTTGTAGAAGTTAAAAACATCTTTTTTGATTTTCAGTTGAAAAATAATTTTGTTAAAAAGTTACGATAAGTAGTATTCCGTCCATTTAATTTATGTGATTTTATTTTTTAATAAAAATGAAATATTTCCATAATGTTAAAATCACAGATTCTAAATTTCGTTCTTAATCAAATATGATTGCACAAAATGACATGGAAGGAGCAGTTTTTTTTGTTTCCTTTCTAAAACAAATTTTCAAAGTTAAAGGAACAAATAAGTACCAACCAAAAGGAAAAAGTGAGTGAGAGAGAGAGAGAGACTGTTTCTCTCCTCCTCCTCTGCTTTTGATCATCTTTCGGTTGCCATTTACTTTTGTCCTTTTCAGTTTGACTGTACATAGTACACTCTCTCACTCTCCCCAAGGTAAGGGTGGCAAGTAGGCCGATTCCGGGCCTAAACGGATCAAGTGAGCTGGTTTCGGACCGGTCTTAAATTAAACGGGCCAAATGAGCTCGAATTAAATGGTCTTTTTGTAGGGACCGGCCTGGGACCGAGCCCGTTTGGTCCCGGGCTAAACGGTTCCGGCCCGTGGGCTAAATGGGCTAAGTGGACCCACCAAATTTAAAAAAAAAAATTAAATATGAGTTATCTTATTATATTATTATATATAGATGACAAAAAGTAATTATTTTATTATATAAAGGGGACAAGAAGTAATGGAGAATAAAAAGCTTATTTTATTATATTATTATATAAAGGGGACAAGAAGTAATAGAGAATAAAGGGGTTATATTATTATATTATTATAAGTAATTAAAAAGATACATACACATATATAACTAATTAAAAAAACCGACTATTTTTTAATTTTATTTTATTTTATTTTTAAAGTTGAACGTTGGGACTGTTTGGCCCGCGAAAGGACCGGTTCGGTCCCGGGTCCTGGCGGGCCAAATGATCCAGGTCCTTGCGGGCTCAAAGCATAGGATCGACTCACGAGACCGGCCCAGCCCCACTAAATCCGGTCTTAACGGTCCTGGCCTGAACCGGCCCACTTGCTAGCCTTACCCTAAGGCCATCTCTGACTCTCTCCCATTTCTCCATAATCGGGGTATTTTTTGCATGGGGCTCCAATATTCCCCATTTTACCCCCAAAACAGGGATAAATAGTGTTACCTCAAATATGGAGTGATACTATTCATCTCATCCATTACTATTCATCTTTATTTTACTATTATTTAACTCTTTTAATTTATCTCTTTATATATACCTAATTATATTTATGTAATATTTTTATAATATTAATTTTACATCTTAACTTTGATGTATAATTTTGATAAATTAATTGTCGTACATTTATTATTTTTATGCAAAATTATAAGTTAATCGTGACCAACGTTCGCCACAGAAGAAATATTTCGCAATGAAACAAAAATCGTGTCGAAAAGATGTTAAACGTGCATTCAGAGTTTTGCAAGCTCGTTTCGCAATTGTTGCAGGACCTTCACGTTTTTGGAGAAAAGAAGTGTTACATGATATAATAACTACATGTATTATACTACACAACATGATAATAGAGGATGAACGTGATCTTAATGCACCAATTCAAGATGATTGAGAATGTCCACCTATAACGGTAGAAATGGCAGTAGATAAAAATCACCGATTTGAGCAATTTTTAGCTCGACACAAAAAAATTAAGGACAAAGATGCTCATTTTGCACTTCGTAATGCATTAATAGATCATTTATGGGAGCATACTAGATATGGAAGTTGAATATTTATATAACTCCCGAGCATTTGGCGATCTCAGATGTGTCGATATCAATGATGACTCATTATTTCTTGTAATATTTTATATGAATTTTACCATAATATAATATGTATTTAATTATCTTGTATCTCAATGATTTCACTTTTATTTGAATTATCCGTTAACATATATAATCTATAATATTTGCTTATAAATTATATTATTTAAAAATTTATGGTATAAAATAACTTTATATTAAATTATATGTGATGAATATATAAAAAGAAAAGATTGAATTTTTTTAATAGAAATAAGAAAATAAAATTTAAATAAAAATAAAAATAGAATATTGAAGAGAGAGAAGAATATAAAATAAAATATTTTTTTTGAAATAAAAAATGAAGAGGAGTAACTTTGGCGAGGATCGGAGAAGAGTAGTAGGTTTTGAGTGTACAACAGCACCACCATTTCCCCCTCCCTCCCAAAAACCTCAAAAGAGAACAAAAATCCAACCTGCATTTTCAAATTTTCACATTTTTTTTTCTCTTTTCCTTTATAGCATCACCATAATAAGTCCAACCAAAGTAGAAGATTCCTTTGTCCCATGAATTCCCAAGAATCCCAACCCGGCCACCATCAACCCCACCCCCATCTTCACTCCCTACCCCACCAACTCCACCACCCGCACCACCAACAACCCCACGGAATAATGGCGGCGCTGCCTCAACAACACCACCACCACCAACAACACAATTCGTATGGTTTGCCTGAGAACGTTAATAATATGCAACAGCAACTACAGCAACAACAAACACAACAAACACAACAAAACCCTCGATTTGCTATAGATTACAGTGATGACGGGCCGTCGTCTCCTAGGGGTTCTTCCCCGGCAAGGAAGAAACGAGGGCGGCCAAGAAAGTACTCTCCTAGTCCTGATGGTAACAACATAGCTTTGGGCCTCTCTCCCACTCCACTACTTACTCCCATTCCTGATTCTGGTGCTGCTGGTGGGCCCGCCACTCCCTCTTCCGAAAACTCCTCTAAAAAGCTCAGAGGCAGACCTCCTACCCCTTTAAAGAAACAGCTCGACGCACTAGGTACCCTATATATCATCCTCTCCTTTTTTTTTTAATTAATTTTAATAAAAGCTAGGTCTATTTTGAGACTGTTTTCCTATAAAAATGTATTATGTGGAAAATGTTTTATCTTGGAATATTAATTTTTCAATGTTCAATTTTGGATATAAAATGGGTGATTTATGGTAATTGTACAGAGTTTAGGATAAAGTATTAGGATAGTATTTCAGTGATATTTTCTAGTATTAGATGGTTGACAACAATCTAATAGCATTTTTGGCCAAGCTTCTCCAAGTTTCAAATTTGAAATGTTTGGCCAAGCTTTTAGAAGAAAAAAAGTGCTTTTGAGTAGAATTAGAAGCAGTTTTGGAGAAGTAGCCAAAAATACTTTTTTGCAAAGTACTTTTGAGATTCATACGCTTAGACAAGAGGGGTTGCTCTGATGGTAAGCAACCTCCACTTCCAACCAAGAGGTTGTGAGTTCGAGTCACCCCAAGAGCAAGGTGGGGAGTTCTTGGAAGGAAAGGATGCCGAGGGTCTATTGGAAATAGTCTCTCTACCTCATGGTAGGGGTAAGGTCTGCGTACACACTACCCTCCCCAGACCCACTAGTGGGATTATACTGGGTTGTTGTTGTTGTTGTTGTTGTTGTATACGCTTAGAAAAGCACTTTTTAAAACCTTGGTCAAACATTAATTGCTGCTCAGAAGTGCTTTTTAAATTAATTAACCAAACATAAATTGCTTCTCACCAAAAGTACTTCTGAAAAAAGCACTTTTCAAAATAAGACAAGCTTTAAATGCTAGTTGAAGCAAGTGATATAATTAAGAGCCTATTTGGTCTAGCTGCCAAAAATTGCTTTTTTAAAAAAGTGCTTTTGTTCCAAAGTGCATTTCGAGAAAGTATTTTTGCAAAGTATCAGTTTGCGTTTGGCCAATTTATTTGAGTTGTACTTTTTGCAAGCAAATTGTGTTTGGTCAATCTTTACAAAAAGTACTTTTGAGTATCAAATTATGAAAAAGGAAAGTGAAGTTTCAGTTTGTAGTTGGTATTATTTAAAAAGCGAGATATGGATATAAATATTTATTATACCGAAATTCAATTAAAATATAAAACATAAAGTAAAAATATAAATTAAAGATTTTAATCAATATAAAGTATAATTATTCCAAAGTAATAATATTGGGTACTCGATATTACTTATTGTTTACATGATGATTTAAATATTTCAAAATACATCATTCAATATAAATTAAAAAACTACTCTTTTAAATTACTCTATAAAAAAAGATAACTCCGTTTCAATTTAGATGAGGTAGTTTGACTCGACACGAAGTTTAAGAAAAAAAAAGACTTTTGAAGCTTGTGGTCTTAAAAGCTTTGTGGAGCCATGACATTTGTGTGGTTATAAAAGCTTCTCATTAAGGGTAAAATGAAGATTTTAAAGTTGAATTATTTCCAAATTTAGAAATGTGTCGTTTATTTTGGAACAGACTAAAAAGGAAAGTACCTCATCTAATTTGAAACGGAGAGAATATCTAATTTGAGGCATAATTTCGAAAAATATAAATTTATTGTAAGGATATTTTTGTTTTGGACAAATTAATTTTCTACTTCTGGAAAGAAGCTAGAATTTGTAGTTTCTCCCCTAAAGCTGGAAAACTGCTTCGGTTGCTACTCAAAAACACTTTTTCATCTTGACCAAACATCTCAAATTATCCAAAAAGTGTTGTTTTGACAAAAAAGTACTCTAAATAAGGCTGACACATTTTAAAGAGATTGACTTTTTCCCTCAAGTAACTATCATTTTACTCTGTAAATATATCTCGTCATTAGTTTTAGAAACAACTTCATATGGAAATAGGCTTCCATTGTCCTTATTCCTTAGTCAATTTGATTGTTTTTTGTATTTATAACTCTATTAGAGTGACTGTTGGGGTTTCCTGATTGTTGACAGGTACAGGCGGAGTTGGCTTTACACCACATGTAATCTTGGTGAACGTTGGGGAGGTAAAAAGAATTTTTTTCTTTTAAATTATTTTGGGCCACAGATAACAACAAGCTATAATGAGAAGCAAATTGCGCCTAATGGGTGTTTTTAAAAGTAAAAAACACAAAAAGCGGCAAGGTCCTTAGAGCTTGAAGCAAAAAGCGAGAAGTGAAGAGCATGCTTCTTTGAAGTGAAAGTCACAGTCCATGACATTAAAAAATACCAATCATATATGAATTTATCACTAGAATTGTTAGGACCGAGAACCTGGGTAGTGCGGAATTTAGCCAAACAATGGTATAATGACAATAACAAAGACAATGGAAGTTGATATTAAAGCATATAAATAAGACACAAATTTAACGTGGTTCGGTCAAATTGACTTACGTCCACAAGCGGAGAGGAGCAATTTCACTATACCAATAAGAGTACAAAAGAGAGTACAAAATTAGAGTAAATACTCTAATTAATCCCAAATACCCCAAGAGAATAACCTCACAAGATCACTCCAAAGAAAGGGTTCACACAAGTGTTTTCCAACACTCACTCTCTTACAAAATACTCTATAATAAAATAAATGAGGAGAAAGAAATACAAGAGTGAAAAGCTCTTGAATTGGTGTGTTTGTAAATGAGGAGAAACTCCTCTATTTATAGCAAGNTTTGTTGGTGTGTTTTCAAATGGGTAGAGAGTCCTCATTATATAGGAAAAGAAGAAAGAAATGCTTGGCCAACAATTGGCCACATCCTCTCAAAATACAAGGCCATTTATTTGGCCAACAAGGCCTTAAATAAAAGGCTCCAAATGTGCCAACAAGGCTTACAAATAAAAAGCCTAAAAATAAGGCCACTTTTTACAGATCTCCACCTTGGCCTAATTTTGGCTGATATAGTAAATTTGCTTCACATTCTCCGCAAAAGCCCCAATGGGCATATGTCAAAATTTAATGCCATCAAAATCAGACAAGTTGTNAGAGGAAAGTCAAAAAGGGAAGAGTAAAATCAAAAAGGGAGGAGGAAAGTAAAAAAAAGAGGGGAGATTCTTGCACAACAGAGAGAGACGGGGGAATATAGATAGAGAGATACATTGAANAGTATACAACGAACCAGATCTGTGTGCTTTCATGATCACAAGAGCACCTTGAAATTTTTTTAGAACTACACCTTCACCAGTGAATTTGCACCCAAGGGATCCTAAAGCGCCCAAAGAGATGAGATTTGTTTTCAACTAAGGAACATATCTCACATCGGTGAGAGTTCTTACCACACCATCGTGCATTCTGATCCGAATTGAACCTTTGCCAGTAACGTTACAAGTAACATTGTTACCCAGTTGGACAACTCCACCTGCAACTGAATCATATGTAGAAAACAAGTCCCTGCTAGGACACATATGATATGAACAACCGCAATCTAAAATTCACTCATTTTCTAATCTGAAATTAGTTTCAGTTGCTAAAAATATAGTTCCCTCAATCTCATCAGTTGCTACACTAGCTTCGGCGGTGTCAGTATTTTTGTGCTCATTTTTCCTTTTCTTATGTTTTTTTTTATTTTTCAGCTTATAGCATTCTGAGATAATGTGACATTTCTTATGACAATAGCGACACTGTAAATTATTGTATCTGGATATGGAGTNTCGTTGTGTTTCTATTCGGGTTCTGGCAGGTTTTCTCTGTTGGAGTCTATTCGGCTTTGATTTCACCTATTGTAATTTCACTGGAGGTGCTTGCAAATAAAGGGAAGAGTTTTGTTACTAAAGGTCCGATCGTTTACCTTAAGTCTTCGTTATTTACATATTTGTCTGTGATTTTTCTTAGATATAGGGTTGAGTTCATTTCGATAAAATTGTTGCCTAAAGAATCATGTTGCGTATTTATTGCTATGTGTACTTATGCTCTGTTTAGTATAATTAATCATCCATTTGTTAATTATGGGAAGAGAAGCATGATACTTTTAGGAGTAAATGTATAATTGGATCTTGAGATCCTCTCCAACAGAGTTGCCAGAGCTATCACACCCCTTTTCTACCCCCAAAAAATATGTTATGTATTATTGTGGGTTAAAGAGTTTTTTCAATTAAAGTGACAAACTTGAGTAGGGATTATTTTATTTACAGAGTCGTCACTTGGAATTGAGTTTTTGGGTGTTCCAAGCCACCTTTTATTTGAATCATTAGTCACAGAAAAATTTGACTCTATTANCTTTTCCCACATGCTTTTGGCTGTGGTTTTTACAGAAATTTCACGTAAAACCTCATTTGAGAGATTTAAGATGATACCTGATTTTGCCTTTTTATCTATGATGGCAAACTCCTCGTCCGTCATTTTATCCGGCTTCTTCTCCTTTCCTTGCAACGCCAAGTCTAAGCCATCCTGAATTAGGATAGATTCCATCTTTAATTGCCACATTCCGAAGTTTGCACGTTGGTCAAATTTCTCAACATAAATCTTTCTTAAAGTCATATTGGCTACTGAAACAAACCCGGTTAGATCCGGCTTTGATACCAATTTGTCAGGATCGGGAACCTGGGTAGTGCGGAATTTAGTCAAACAACGGTATAATGACAATAACAAACACAATGGAAGTTGATAACAACGGCAATTAAAGCATATAAAGAAGACATAAATTTAGCGTGGTTCGGTCAAAGTGACCTACGTCTACAAGCGGAGAAGAGCAATTTCACTATACCAATAAGAGTACAAAATTAGAGTAAACACTCTAATTAATCCCAAATACCCTAAGAGAATAACCTCACAAGATCTCTCCAAAGAAAAGATTCACACAAGTGCTTCCCAACACTAACTCTCATACAAAACACTCTTAATAAAGGAGGAAAGGAAGAAACAAGAAATGAAGACTCAAGTCTTATTGGTGTGCTTTCAAATGAGTAGAGAGTCCTCATTATATAGGAAAAGAAGAAAGAAATGCTTGGCCAACAATTGGCCACATCCTCTCAAAATACTAGGCCATTTGGCCAACAAGGCCTTAAATAAAAGGCTCCAAATGTGCCAACAAGACTCACAAATAAAAAGCCTAAAAATAAGGCCACCTTTTACAAGAATGATGAAATTGCATTAAAATAACTAATTTCAGTATCATATATACAATAGCGCTGATATTAATCCAACTCCTCAAAGTTGTGATTTAAAGAATTGAACGCTTCTCGTTGGGATCACTTTATTCATCATCGTTTGAAGCACATATTTCAATGAAGCACATAACTTCACCCATGCATTTCTTTCTACTAAAGGTGCTAGCGTTCTAGAATGTGCATTTTATTCCATCATTTGTGATTGGTTGTCTCGCAAGGCACAACGGTAGTGCAGTGTGAAACCATTGTTTCCTATGCCTTTAACTGTCCATTTTTTAGGTTGACTTTTCACTATAATGCGAATATGTTTTCTTGGCTGAAGGACATAGCATCGAAGTTACTGGCTTTCTCAGAGCAAGGACCGCGTATAGTTTGCGTTCTATCCGCACATGGAGCCATTTGTAATGTCACCCTCCAGCAACCAGCAATGGGTGGTAGCATTGTGACTTGCGAGGTTCGTATGCTTTTGAGCTTAACGATGCCTTGCTGATTCGTTACACTGTTACTGTTGGTAATTGTTTGTGCCTAATAGTGCACTGGAGTTTTATGGCTGAGTGATCCAATGCCTTTCTTGATGCTCATGTATAATTATCCATTGTCACATCACCTTTGATTATAAGATAGTATTAGTTTGGACATAGCCTATATTATTTCAGTCATGTGTTAATCTTTTGATTAAGTTACAAAACTTGAATGTTATTTCCCGTTAAACTGATTTGTGTGTTGGCATGAAATGCGTCTTTTGCATGAAAGTTGGAATGTGTCTTTTGCATTAGATTTTTCTTGTGATTTAAGTGATGAATGCATCTTTTGCATGAAAATATCCACTCTCGCATCACCTTTGATTCTAAGGTAGTGATTGTTCAGAAAGTCTCTCTTTGTTTGTAGTAAGAAGTTTGTAAAGCTCGTATCATTCTTCCAAAAGGGTGGCTTTATAAGTAATAATTAACAATTCGTAATATGCTTGACCTCGAGTTGCAACCAAGAGCAACTTGACACAGAATTTTGGTTGCCATCATCTAAGTTGCTCCGACACGACAATTTAGGTGCTGCGACCGTGTCGATACGACACTAGTGTGGGTGTGGGGGTGGGTATGGAATCCGTACCAGATCTGGTCAAACGATTTTGGATACTTTGATCACGATTGGGTGAGTGTTGTGGACTCAAAACTCATTCACTTTATGATCACATAACATAGGATCATCAAGGTGATGTGCAAGTTTTCTGAGTTTTCTCCAACATCATATCCGTGTTTGCAAAATACAGGTAATAGGTTCCTTTGTGCTTTAGGCAAGATTTGCTTTGGGCCAACTATTTCTTTTGGAATCTGATATTGTTCAGTATTTTCTTGAGCTTGGTTAGACAAAGGGCTATCTTTTGGCAGTTGAGAAGGTAAAAGGATGTGAATGTGTCTTTCCGTTATCGTATTTATCCTATCACCAATTGATTGAGTAAATATTGACATTGAAATATATGGAGATCAATGTTTTCTATTTCCATTTAAACTTTACTTGTTTTTGTCATTGGAAATTGGCTTTCATCAGTTGGTGACTGGTGATCTACAGTTGGTTGTTGGTACCATTTATTATTTGAGTTTAGCTTCCAGAGAAGCCTAATTTACTGATGAATTGCTGTGAAATGATATCTTGAACGTATTAGTAAGTCGGATTGTGGACTAGCTAGGTGTCTTTATCTTTTCTAAAGTGTGCATTCCACATGTACTTATATCCATTGTATTGCTAGAATGATCAAATTGTCTGCTATAATTGTGTCATTGTTTGTACATGCAGAGTTTTATAAACATGATCGTAGTACCTACACTAATCTTTCGCTTACTTTATTCCAACTTGTTTCACCAGTCATTGCATATGGTGGTATTCTTCATATGCAGGGCCGATTTGAAATCATCTCTTTATCAGGTTCGCTCTTGCGCTCTGAAAGTAACAGTGGCAGAACAAGTAGTCTAAGTGTGTCACTGGCCGGGTCAGACGGTAGAGTTTTGGGCGGTGGAGTTGCAGGATTGCTCACGGCTGCAACACCAGTACAGGTGCTGTTCTAACTACCTTTGTTCCTGCACTCTCATTTGAGTGCATATTGTTTAATTGGTAACTGTTCTCAGTTCATCACCAGGTGATTGTGGGTAGCTTTATTGCGGAAGGGAAAAAGCCAAAGTCTAAGACGCCATCTTCAACACCACCACTTTCCAATATGTTGAATTTTGGTGCTCCGCACTTGGAGGCGAGCCTTCCTTCCCAGGATGCCTCGAGCAACTCATCTGATGAAAATGGGGGTAGTCCTCTCAGTCATGAACAAGGACCTTATGGTAATGCAGGTCAACCATTGCACGGTATGCCAATGTATGCAAACATGGGCTGGCCAAACAACAGTATGAAACTGGTTCCTTAATTGACATAACGTTGCAGAAGGGTATTTGACATCTGAATACCCTGCGCCAGAGTTGGCAGTTGATTCTAAATGTTAACGAGCAGATTTTAGGTGTTATATTACCTGATGATTTTAGGTGTTCCTTTGAGTTTCAGACTTGAAGCTCCCCCCCCCCCCCCCCCCCCTCCGTATTCACCTGTTTATTCCCCTTTGATTTTTTTCTTTGGTATGTAGTTGATTGTTCTAGCTCTGGTCAAAAGCATGGCTTGTTTAGAAAAAAAGCCATTCATGATCGTGGTATATGTTAGGTGACCTGGAGTTGAGTCTTTTATTTTCATATTGGCAGAACAGACTTATCTGTATCTTTCTTTTAGGAATTATTAGAAGGGTAGAAGCCTTTCAACTGTTTGAACATTTTTCTTTTAAAATTGTCTTTTGATCCTACCTTACATATCGATAACCAAAATAAGCAGAAGAAGATAGTATAATGTGTGAAACGTAGAACTAGGATTCTGAACCTAAATTTTGCAAATGAAGCATGTTAGCCTTCTATTCTTCAGCAAACCACTTGGAATAGGGTATATACATTATGTAGTTTATCGTACTAGAACAGAGATCATTTTTAATAATGCTGTGCAAATTTTAAACAGGTTTTTCTTGTGGTAATATGTATTAGCAAGCGAAAACATTAGAAATTCACCATAAAGTATTACAAATTAATGTTGTGAATAGCATTGGCTTTAAACCATTCTCAAAGTGAATATAAGATCTCATACAGTTTCATCTACCTTCTTCTGTTTTTGTTTACCCTTTGTGTTTGCTCCAAATTATGGGGGACTGTGGCAAGGGAATACTGCATCTATCTGTCTCAAGTAATAGTAATAAATTAATCTCTCTAGAATGCAATTTTTGTATGCTTTTTCTTCTTTCCTCTGTATAACATGTAATTCAGCTGGATATTACCTTACAAATAAATTAATTTCCTCACAATTCGTATTCATCATAAACAATCCTGAAAAGCATGATTTTGTTCTATTTTGACTATAAGATACAGCTGGGCAATATTATATAAGATTCAACGTTTCACAAGCTCTCAGCGAGCTGTAAAAATTATCACTATTAAATCAGTGTGACTGAAAGATAGATGCTGTTAGCCAGCACAAAGCTAGGAGTAAACAAGAGAATTAATCAGTAAACAAACAGGATTATTCCTCCTAGGCCAACCGAAGACGTAAATATCTGTAATTTCTTGATTTGTCGACAGCAATAAATTCTGTTACTCTATTGATATTTTAAAATTATTTAGCAGAGGCAAATAAGATAGGTTATCTTGTCACTTATTAATTACAACTGGAAAATCTTTTAGGCAGTAGAGTAACTTACAAAAGATGTTACTATCGCCATTCTATACGAGAGATGACTGATGAGGTCATCTTAACGGGACAAGAACAACAAATAAAATAGGGCGGGGGAGGGGATAGACCTAAGAAGCAGCACGTGTTTCGGAAAGGCAATCAAAAAATTGCAGACAAGTTCGCAATATTAATGTTTGGAAATGATCTAAGGTAATTGGGTGATTGCTTGTATTTTGACCATTCATAAATATACTTTCTCATTGATGTTTTAAGGGTCTAATTACCCTACAGGCACAGTATGTTGGCCATTTTGAGGTAAACTAAAGGGATTTTTACGCAAATAGCCCGTCATATTTATTGTTTACTTTTTCTAGCCATATACATATATTATACATAATTATACATATATAATATATAAATTATACATATATTATACTTTCACCGGCTATTTGTAGTTTAAGCCGTTTGATGTATGACTATTTAGGTTAATTCTTCTAAACTAAAATCCAAAATTCTTTAAATAAACATAAGCCCAATGGCCATTTTGAGGTAAACTAAAACCCAAAATTCTTTAAATAAACATAAGCCCAATCAAAGATATATTCAAACTCCCTCCGTTCAGTTGTACTTGTCCACTATTAACTTTGCACGTCCATTAAGAAATAATAAATGAAGTGCACAATTTACCATGGTACTCATATTAATTGATGCATATTTTTAATTTATTTGAGAAAACAACAACAACAACCACTCAGTATAATCCCACTAGTGGGGTCTGGGGAGGGTAGTGTGTACGCAGACCTTACCCCTACCCTGGGGTAGAGAGGCTGCTTCCGATAGATCCTCGGATCCCTCCCTCCAAGAACTCCCCACCTTGCTCTTGGGATGACTCGAATTCACAACCTCTTGGTTGGAAGTGTATAACATGAAATGAATAATTAATACTGTGGGTATAACAGGAAAAAAAGAAATTGTCTTCTCTTGATATGCTAAAAGTGACAAGTAAAAGCGAAAATCTATTTTTAGAATACTAGACATGTAAAAGTGAACGGAGGGAGTATATCATATATATATCAAAAACCTGATATACTAAGCTCTCACTATACGCGGGGTCCGAGGAAGGGCCGGACCACAAGTCTATTGTACGCAACTTTACCCTGCATTTTTGGAAGAGGCATATATTAGCAAATGACAAACAGGGCATACCTTCATATGCAATTTTACATCTCTAATATATAAAGATGTATAAAAACTATGATAGTTAAAATGAAATGAAAGAAATAAATAAACAGATGTTAGTTACTCGAAACTTGGTCACATCTAAATGTCTGGAGATAATCACAGTGCCACGACAATGGTAAAGCCAAACGTTGCTAAGCTCAAATAAAAAAAGAAATCGTCGAATCCAATATTCCATCAAGTAACAATTAGTTATCCACTCATGAAACAAGAGCACTGTCCTAAACTACTTGAATATATTGTCAATGAGACATCGACATGAATTCCAACCAAGAAAAAGGCGTTACAACTTAAGTTTCAAAGTCTTGTTTCTAAAATATTAGAGTTACTAATCTACTAGACAGGCATATTATCTTCTCATTTTTGTCTTGACTAGCTGCTAAACTCCACCTACATACTCTGAAAACCTTGTATATATCTTCAGTATAGCTAGGGTTTTTGTCTCCATTTCCCCACATTCAGCCCATCCTCTATTTAAACCTTGTTCATTTATCCTTGTTCCACATCTTATCTCAATCACCTATATATGTTCTTATCATCATGACTGATGAAATTGAGCCTTTGTCCTTGATTCAATTCCAAAAACTGGCTCAATTCCAACATCAACAACAACAACAATAACAACGATATTTATCACCAGCCTCACCGTTAAACCCTAGCTCAACCGTCGAATATTGGATGTGAGCAACAATAACAACAACAATATTTATCACCACCCTCACCGTTGAACCCTAGCTCAACTGCCGGCTATTGGATGTGGAACCCTAAGGATGACGATGATTCGTGGGAAATCAGAGCTTTTAAGGAAGATACTAGCAATTCAATGGGTGCAACTTGGCCCCCAAGGTCCTATACTTGTACCTTTTGTCGAAGAGAGTTCCGTTCCGCCCAAGCCCTAGGTGGTCACATGAATGTGCACCGCCGTGACCGTGCCAAGCTCAATCAAACACCACTTGCTTCAAATACCTCTACTACTTTCCCCAATACTAATTCTACCCTCCTAATTCAAACTCCAGAATTCATCACAAATGGTGGACTTTGCCTTCTTTACTCCTTACCTAATAACCCTAATACTATCTTCAACCCTTCAACAATTAAATCTAGTGTCGATCCCTCTACTCTTCTCTCTATCTCACCTTCTTTTATGAATAATTTGATGCCTTCTTGCACGCCTCCATCTTTAAATTTTCCAATCAACCAGCCTCAAAATATCAACTCATCATTTAACACAAGTGAAACTTCAGCATCTAATGGTACTAGTCATGATAATAATCACGACGATGGTAGCAGCAAGAGAGATTTAGTTATTGAAGATGAGATTGATCTCGAGCTTAGGCTAGGATGGAGATCATCATCATCATCAAATTAATTTCCTACACTTTTTGTGAGAACTTATTTTCTTTTCTCTTTCATGGATTGATTTCAGGATAGACCGCCTACATCACCCATGGGCCTTCAATGGACCCTGCATGAATGCGGGATACTTAGTGCACCGGGCTGCTTTTGTTTGTTTTCTCTCCTTCTGTAGATTGATTTATTTGTTATGTGTAATAATAAAGATGATAGAAAAGTTTTTAGGGTTGGAATCCGAGCTAGACTGTCAAAAGAGCCTTGCAGTGCAGTGTCATTTTCCTGTTGCTGCGTGTATTTTATATTTTGGCTGGGGATTACTGAATCGGTATGATTGGACTGTTATATATTACCACATAAATAATTCTTTTCTGATGAACTGATTTAGTAAAAAAGTTGGTAGTTAAATGAACATTATTAATTCAATCTAGTGTGAATCCTACATATATTCGAACTCTATCCATGAAATGAAGATTCTTTTTCCTTTTGCTTCCTTCTCTTTTCTTATTTGGTTTTTGTCCTTCTCCTGCTTCCTTCTGTTGGCTATCTTTTGGAAAATTTTCATATTTTCGTCATATATTTTGAAGTGTTAAATTTTAATGGCTTTTTTAGTCTCACCATTTAAACAAATTAAATTATACGAATTAAAAAGTAAAAATGACACTGTATAGCCGCTGTAAAAATAATAGTCGAAAAAATATATAAAATTTATATATTTTTTTGTATATATATATATATACATTATGTATGTTATATACAAAAATTATACAAATTTTATACACTTTTTCGGCTACTCGATGTAAATAGTTTCTAGCGCGGGCTAAAAGTGATAATACCCCATTAAAAATCTCCCTTCCCCTGAATTTGTTTTTTAAAAATAGTTTTACTCGGCATGAAATTTAAGAGAGAAATGAAGATAAATTTATAGTCTTAAACATGCCATATAATATTTGTATGGCTATAAAACTTTTAAAACTCTTGATCTTAGATATGTCATAATAATTTTTTATAGCTATAAAAGCTTCTCCTTTAATGATAAAATAAAATTTAAAGCTAATTGTTTCTATATGGAGTATAAACAATGGAGATATGAAATTTATAGTCTAATATGGGAAGCTTCTCTTTCTTGTTCTTAATTTCCCCAACTGAGATAAGTATTGGACTAAACGGCCCAAAGTACTCTTATAGCCTGATTGGCCAAGCTTTTTCAAGTTGTAAGTTGAAGAGCTAGGCAAGCATTTAGAAGAAAAGAAAAAGTTCTTTTGAGGAGAAGCAGGAGTGCAGTTTTGGAGAAGCAGAAAAACTAGCTTCTTCTTGGAATTACTTTTTTGAAAAGCATTTTTGAGAAAAATGCATTTAGAAGTACTTTTTAAAAGCTTGACCAAACACAAATTGCTTCTTAGAAGTGCTTTTTCAAATTAATTAGTCAAACACAAACTGTTTTTTACCAAAAGTACTTTTGACAAAAAGGACTTTCCAAAATAAACTGATTTTTCTAGCTTGGCCAAAAAGACTATCATACCATTAAAAGTATCCAATTCATTATAAGTAACTTATTTTTCTTTTCTAATTTTCACGTGGGGGCAATAAGTGATGGAAGAACAATAAGTAGCTAGAACCAAACACTAAACAATGGAGTAAAGCTTACCATTGATTACGATATTGCCTGCATGGTTTTAAGTACTTTTTGCAGGACAGACAATGCTTTGGTCCCCAATTTCTTGTTTCCTCACTTTTTCATTCAGCTAGCTTGCATTTATCAGAACAATGAATTCAGTGTCCACCATTCAATTATATGTATATCTTTAAGGCTTTGGACAGACTTTGGAAGAAAAAGAAAAAAGAAAATGTTTAGAAAACCTTGTCCAAACCCAAAAAAGAACCCACAAAAAGTATAGCTTCAAAGAATTACATTACAAGATCCATATACATGGATTGCCTTTGGTTTTATCTACTGACAAGAATCGACCAAGATTCGGAAAAGTAAAAGAGTGTAGCAGTATCTCTGTAAGTAAATTTATTTTTCTAGTGACAGTATGGCTAGGTTTTCAAAAGGGAGAGGAAATGCTTTACACATAATAGATCTGTCTTTTACACGTAAGAGATATAAAAAGGTCATTTTCTTAATTTTAAAATTGTAAAGAAGCATGATATACAAATATCAAATTAAATAATTTAATGATACATGACTTAATCATAAAAAAAGTTTATATATATATATATATATATATATATATATATATATATATATATTTTGCATAAAAGAAAAATTCTATCTCTTAGCTGTAGGTTACTATGATTGCTTACAAATGACCTAGCTAGTTGATGAAATATCACCTAATGTTGCTAGAGAAATATTTTTGGAAGATTACATGAGGTAAGTGAACGCTTGAGCAATTTATGCCAAATACCCATTGAGTGTTTCTTCTTGGGCTTAATCCATGTTGCAAACACATACTCAGTTGATCAACTCAATTCTATTCTAGGACCAGCCCATTGTATAAACTAGTTCAAATATATATAATAATAAAGAACTAAAATAAACATTAATGTTTCAAAATGAAAACCAAACCAAACAATACTATCTGTCTATCTTCAATCCAAAGTCATCTAATTAGTTTTAAAAAAGAGAGAGAGAGAGAGTAAAGAAACAATAACGCTATTAAGAAGATATGCGAATATTACATATCTTATAATAATAAGTAGGCATGCTGATAAATTTAAGTATTTAAGTGTTAATTAAATAAAACGTTTAAAGAGAAACAAAGATAATTTAGACAGTTATTTTTATGATTAGGATTATTAGATGTCTTTATTCAGAGATTGAAGCATACGCAAAAAGGCTATAATAAAAGGCTCCATTATGTATCTTTGGTTCATTGGTCAATGTTTAGGAATTGTTCTTTATTATTATTAACTATTATCTTTTTGGATGACATATTCTTCAACGTGTTGCAATTATAATATACAACAACAATAACCCACTATAATCTCACTAGTGGGGTCTGAGGAAGTTATTGTGCACGCAGACCTTACCCATACCCTGGGGTAAGGTAGGGTAAGTCAAATAATTATAAAATCTTTCTTTTTTTTCTTAAACTTTGTGTCAAGTCAAACGACATCATCTAATTAAATTGAAACGGGTAGAGTATAATTTCGATTTGAGATAAAAGTTTTTTTTTTTTGTGTTACTTGTGTGTTTTCAGTATTAGATCATAAAATAATTACTTATAATTTTATTTTCCACAGAAGTACTCAAAAATCGCAATAAAGCATCTAAGTACTTTTGTTAAGGGAGGATTTCTTCGTTTATGGAGCTAGTTAAATGGGGATTAGCATTTATCATTTTAAGACGGACACATTTTTATTTTGTAACTTAAACAAATTAGTTAATAATATGCATATAATTTTAAAACTATGTATTTGTTAATATAAATACACGTACAAAGTGCGTACCATAAAACTAGTTATTATTAATTATATTTTCATAATCATATAAATAAGTATAATATAATTATAGCCTGTTTGGCCAAGCTTCTTCGAGCCAAAAATATTTTTTTTTAAAGTACTTTTTTTTTCTAAAGTTGAAGTGTTTGGCCAAACTTTTAGAAGGAAAAAAGTACTTTTGAGTAGAAGCATAAGCAGCTTTGGAGAAGCAAAAAAAAATAATTTTTTCTTCAAAAACACTTTTTTGAAAAGCACGTTTGAGAAAAATATACTTAGAAACAGTTTTTAAAAGTTTGGACAAATATTAATTGCTGCTCAGAAGTATATTTTAAATAAATTAGCCAAACACAAATTGCTTCTCACCAAAAATTCTTTTGAAAAAAATACTTTTAAGAAAAAATACTTTGATTTTTGTAGCCAAACATGCTATTAATAGTGCTACTTATAAGCTCTGAAAAATACTTTTGACACGCTAAAAATCTCTTAGATTCTAGGTAGGCTCAAACACCTGTCAGTCAAGCGAGAAATTAGTGAAACATGCCATGAAAAGTCAGTTCACTCTATTAGCAAAATATTACTCCTCCCTTATTTTTATTTGTCCATTATATTAAAAATATATTTTTATTTTTATTTGTCTATTATATTAAAAATATATTTTTATTTGTCCATTATATTAAAAATATATTTTTATTTTTATTTGTCCATTATACTAAATCAAGAGAAGGACAATTTTTTTTTTCTGTTTTACCCCTATCAATAACTAATTATTCCCCAAATTATTTTCCAAAATTTTTGGAAATGCTATCATTATTATGGTAAAATTATAAGTAATATACATACTTCATTTATTTTCTTAAAAGGAGTGCAAAATCAAAAGTGGACAACTAAGCTAGCATTTGGTCATAAAATCCCAAATTTATCTTTAAAAACCTGATTTGGGTAAAGTTTGGTTTGAAGATGAAAATCTGTTTGAACATCATTTTTCAAAATATATTTCAATTTTTTTTAATAAACATGAAAAGTGACTTATACCCATAAGTTCTAAAACTATCAAAAATACCCAACCGTACCAAACAAATAAACTTGCTAAGATTTTTAAAAAAAATTATTCGTAAGATATTCATTTCAAAGGATTACATTCAAAAGATTTTTATTTGAAAAACGTATAGATAAAAGATGTATATTTTGAAGGACTTGATTAATTGGTTGTACTTGTCCTTATTATTCGTGTGAGCAATATTTATGATATTCTTGTTGCCTTGTTGTTCATATCCCTGATTGATCTTTGTTGCCGTCACTGCTATTTGCTTTCTATTATCTTTGTATATTACTATATTGCACAGGTTAAATGACTAGTGAGTGTCTTGACTGTACCTCGTTACTACTCCACCGAGGTTAGTCTTGATACTTACTGGGTACCGAATGTGGTGTACTCATACTACACTTCTGCATATTTTTGTGCAAAGCCAGGCATTTGAGATATCAGATTCAGACAGAGTTAGAGTGTGATCGCAAGGATTCAAGGTAGGGCTACTTGGTCGTCACAGTCATTTGGAGTCTTTCTATTTTATTGTACTGTCAACTCTTATTCGAACAATATTGTATATTCGATCCTTGAGATCATTGCATGTATTCAGTTAGAGTTCGTTACTCTGTATTACCAGTCTTGGGAGGTTCTTATTATTATTTTCGCTGTTGGTTTCGACATTTGTATTAAATTATATGTTTCAAAAAAAAAAGGCTCGAATTATAATTGTAATCGGCTTACCTAGTCTTAGAGACTAAGTGTCATCACGGCGCCCGTGGTGGAATTTTGGATCGTGATAATTATTATGGGTAAAATTATAATATACATACTTCATTTATTTTCTTAAAGAGAGTGCAAAAGCAAAAGTGGACAACTAAGCTAGCATTTGGCCATAAAACCCCAAATTTATCTTTAAAAACCTGATTTGGGTAAAGTTTGGTTTGAAGATGAAAATCTGTTTGAACATTATTTTTCAAAATATATTTCAATTCTTTTTAATAAACATGAAAAGTGACTTATACCCATAAGTTCTAAAACTATCAAAAATACCCAACCATACCAAACAAATAAACTTGCTAAGATTTTAAAAAAAAATTTATTCGTAAGATATTCATTTCAAAGGATTACATTCTAAAGATTTTTATTTGAAAAACATATAGATAAAAGATTTATATTTTTAAGGACTTGAATAATTGGTTGCACTTGTCCTTATTATTCGTGTGAGCAATATTTATGATGTTCTTGTTGCCTTGTTGTTCATATCCCTGATTGATCTTTGTTGCCGTTACTGCTATTTGCTTTCTATTATCCTTGTATATTATTATATTGCACATGTTAAATGACTAGTGAGTGTCTTGACTGTATCTCGTCACTACTCCACCGAGGTTAGTCTTGATACTTACTAGGTACCAACTGTGGTGTACTCATACTACACTTCTGCACATTTTTGTGCAGAGCCAGGCATTTGAGATATCAGATTCAGACAGGGTTGGAGTGTGATCGCAAGGATTCAAGGTAGGGCTGTTTGGTCGTCACAGTCATTTGGAGTCTTTCCATTTTATTGTACCGTCAACTCTTATTCGAACAATATTGTATATTCGACCCTTGAGATCATTACATGTATTCAGTTAGAGTTCGTTACTCTGTATTACCAGTCTTGGGAGGTTCTTATTATTATTTTCGTTGTTGGTTTCGACATTTGCATTAAATTATATGTTTCAAATTTTTTTTTTGACTCGAATTGTAATTGTAATCGACTTACCTAGTCTAAGAGACTAAGTGTCATCACGACGCCTGTGGTGGAATTTTGGATCGTGACAATTATTATGGGTAAAATTATAATATACATACTTCATTTATTTTCTTAAAGGGAGTGCAAAATCAAAAGTGAACAACTAAGCTAGCAATTGGTCATAGAATCCCAAATTTATCCTTAAAAACATGATTTGAGTGAAATTTGATTTGAAGATGGAAATCTGTTTGAACATCATTTTTTAAAATATATTTCACTTTTTTTTAATAAACATGAAAAGTGACTTATACTCATAGGTTCTAAAACTATCAAAAATACCCAACCATATCAAACAAACAAACTTGCTAATCCTGTATATGCAGAACATTCATCGATGCAATTCATTATCATTATCACAAACCATAGTCTAGAACATAGATAACTTTGGCACAAAATTATTATTTTTATAATGAACTACATAATACACTATCCTAAAATCATAACCTGATATTTTAATATCAACTGCTAATAACACAATTACTAGCTATTACAATTCGTCAAATTGCAATAATATTACAAGATCCATCAGTCCGAAAAAAATAATAGTAACTAGCTAGTGGATTAGTTGGGTCATAATAGATGGTGGACTTTTTTATAAAATACAAAATATTAGTGTAATTTTTGAAATTATTAAAAAATCCAACGGTAGTATTTTGAGCCAAAAACAGGTCTAGCGCTAGTTTTGGGATTTGAAAATTTTGTTTTTAAAATCTACCAAAAAATGGGTAAAATCTACATAAATAAATAGGTTTTACCAAAAAATATTTGAAAAACATTTGTCAAAATCTATTGCCAAACGTTGCTAAAAGTGAAGGGAGGGAGTATTCAAAAAAGGCAACTCATAAATGTGGCTGGTTCTGCAATTTCCAGTAAATTATTTCTTCCTTTTTCTGCCCGAAGTAATTTTCCTTTTTTGGTCTAAATATGTAAGCAATCAAAGAAAGAAGGTGGTAACTTGGAGACGCAATTTGTTGAAACTACCATTTATATAAATACATGCATTTAATGGAGAAGTGAGCCTATGATGACTTTAATTAACTATAAAATCTCTCACCCACTCTGTCAAAAATTGCATACTGTGGTGGGAAAAAGGATCTGTTTACAATCTGCCTCCTCATCTTCTCCACTCCTTCATTACCTTCTACAGGTACGAATATATAGCAGTTCTGTATATTTTTGTGCGAACACCGATATTGACTCTGTTATATATGCTTTTCCTTCACTATTTGATCTGATTATGTAATATTGGTTATATTGGCTATCTTGGAATTTCAGATTGCAGCCCAAGGTCTTTACATAACATTTTGGATTTAATTTGGTTGGGTTGAAGTTGGATATATATTCGTTTGCACTATCAAGAATCACTCAGGTAATTAATTTTATTGCTTTTGTTTCTGAAATGGGGATTATGTGATTTTGTTTTAGTGTTTTGTTCTGAGCTGGATTAAGGTGTAGATTGGTTTGAGGCTGGAATTAGTTATGTTGGTATTATTTTTTATTTATCGTTTTGATATGTATTAATCTTAGTATTATCAATATTATCGTTTTATCCTGGATTAATATTCTACCATCGGACGGATATAAGTTTTTCTGGTACTATTTTTAATTTTGAGATTAAATTATCTCAGAATTAGTAACCAAACAAGATATAAATCGATATTAAATTTTCGTCCCAATATTATTTTTGCTTATTTTGGGGAAACATAAAAAAAAGAAAGAAAAAGAGATAGAATATCAAGAAGTTGGTGGCATATTAATTTGATCATTTATTCACCAGAAGTACCTTTCTTTCGCTGGCATCTTAAAGCCCACAGCTGTAAATTTTATTTCCGCCATTGAAGACTACCAACCTTACCAGGCTTCAAGTAAAAGATTTTGATTATTCCATCTAAATGTAGTAATCTAATTTACTTTTTCCTTTTATAATCTAAATTCGTCCTTAAAACTTTGTATTTTTGTTACCTAGCATTAGGATATAGATTTGGTTGAAACTTGAAAAATAAATTTTTTAAGTTGTGTTGAAAAATAACTTTTAGAACTTGAAATTGTATTTGGATATGTATTTTATTTAAAAAAAAGGTGAAGTTTTGTGAGTGGAAGAAAAATTTTCACCCAAAAATCGCCCTAAATCAATTTTTAGGAACTTGATTTTTTTTTCAAAAACTAATCATATTCCATGAATAAATATTATTTTCAAATTATTTTTTCCGTCAAAATCTATGGTCGGTCCTTGATATTCAATATACTGCTTTGGTAGGAGTGATGCGAGAGACATTTGTTTTTAATTGTAGTCATTGTAATGCATATCATAAAAAAAATAATAGTAATGCAACACGTTATGTGTTCAGTGTACGCATATTTTAATTCTTCCAAGTTTTGTTTTGTTTTTCCTTTTAAATTAATTACCTTACATTGTCCGTGTCAACAATATTAACTAAATTAGGGATTGCAAGACTTGTTTACAAAGATTTTATCTAAATCAGTACCTTTTTTTTAAATAAGAAATTAGTTTTCCCCATTTTTACTGACCAAATAATGCTTAGAATGGCTAATAGTCTAATGTTGCAGTACGTAGGACCCCCTCCAATACAGCAAGACAAAAGGCAAAAGTTTTTGTTATCTTTTCCCCTCTCTTTGCGGTGTTAAACGACTAGTCGCAATTAAAAACGGGTAGATTTATATATCTAATTATTAGTCTCGGATTAAAAAATAAAAATACTATTAGAAAAATGTTAAATGATATAAATGAAATCTGTACCTTTTTCTAAAGCAAGTTATTATTGTTAACAGAAACTAAAAATAAAGTATATTCTACAAAAGTATCTAATATTGTAAGATTATAAAAATGTACCGCTAAAATCGGTGATTGACTAAAAGCTCTTGTAATTAAGTGGCCCTGTTTATTAAAAAAGATAATGCAACCAAAATTCCACAATAAAATCAAGACATGCTTCAGGATACTTTGATCTGTTGTGCAGAAACTAGCAAAGAAGGTGAAAAAGAACAGCAAAAATTACAATACTAGTAAAATACTATAGTGTGTATTATTTCAAGATAGTATTAATTGTCCATCAATCTTAACAAATATAAAGACATATTGCAAACATGGTTTTATTGGTGTCAGTAACAGTATATCAAGTGACATTAGTCTACCTCAGACAAGTATTTTTGCCTTCCCAATCCAATAACTCTCTCAAAGAAAGTTACATGGCATCTGCCGTTACTCTCATTGTGTTTCAAATAATAAGCTGCGCGCAGTTGGAGATATGTCTATTCCTTAATTCTTGTGCTTTGTCTTCATAATGTTGCAGATGGATATAGCAAAGGATTTAACAGCAGGGACTGTTGGTGGAGCAGCACAATTAATAGTTGGCCACCCTTTTGATACCATAAAAGTCAAGCTCCAAAGCCAGCCTTCTCCATTACCCGGGCAACCTCCAAAATATGCAGGTGCCATTGATGCAGTCAGGAAAACAGTAGCTTCTGAAGGTCCAAAGGGTTTATACAAAGGCATGGGAGCTCCACTTGCAACTGTAGCCGCCTTCAACGCTTTGCTTTTTACCGTTAGAGGTCAAGCCGAGGCGCTGTTAAGGTCTGAACCTGGTGCCCCTCTTACTGTCAGGCAGCAAATCCTTTGTGGAGCTGTTGCTGGTACTGCTGCATCGTTTCTTGCCTGCCCGACTGAACTCATCAAATGCAGGTCAGCTCTTTATTGCATTAACTTCAGAAGTATATTACTTCCTCTGTCCCCCTTTTTTTGACACTTGTTAGTTGTCAAGAGTTCATTTGACTAACATTCGGAGTTAGATTGGACTAGATTAATTTACTTTACAAAATAAAATATGGATGTTTAGAAACTGTACATATTAGAAGTTACAATTCACTCCATAAGATGGTGAAATAAGTCATTTTAAGATGTTAGTCAAAAGTTCACTAATTTTTGAAAATGAGAGTCTCAAATTTGGTGCAGAGGGAGTAGAGCATATCTTCAAATATATGTAAAGTTTTCCTCAGCTCCTCTATGATCAACAGTCAAGTTGGCTGCCACTGGGCCTCATTGATAAACATAACTTATAAAAACTACTATTCATATCATTTCATGTGTTCTAAGGCTTCCTCTATGTAGCATTAGTGGTAAACCTGCTTGTGTATTTAGCAAAATTGATTGCTGAATTCTCAAATTTGACTGCAGATTGCAAGCCGATAGCGCGTTGGCAAGTGTAGGATCAGGTTCTGTGGCCATAAAATATGCAGGGCCAATGGATGTTGCACGACACGTTCTTCGTTCAGAAGGAGGTGTGAGGGGTCTCTTCAAAGGTCTATTCCCAACCCTGGCACGAGAAGTACCGGGAAATGCTGTCATGTTTGGCGTATACGAAGCGTTAAAGCAGTACTTTGCAGGAGGCATGGATACTTCTGGACTGGGAAGGGGTTCACTTATAGTAGCTGGAGGCTTGGCTGGTGGTTCAGTCTGGTTTGCGGTGTATCCAACAGATGTTATTAAGAGTGTTATTCAGGTCGATGATTATAGAAACCCAAAATACTCTGGTTCTTTTGATGCTTTTCGGAAGATTTTGGCATCAGAAGGTGTCAAAGGCCTTTACAAGGGGTTTGGACCTGCTATAGCGCGCAGTGTCCCAGCAAATGCTGCTTGCTTCTTGGCATATGAGATGATTCGGTCTAGTTTGGGATAATCGCTCCTCCAGGATTGATGGAAGGTTTTGGGAACGGTTACACTTACTTCTTTAACTAGATTTTTCCCAATTGGAATGATCTGTAATTCCAATTTATATTCCAGTAGGACAATTGTGCTTTAAAAAATTTTATACCATTTTTGGGGGACTAAGAAGAAAGAGATTTTTGTGAGCTAAGTTTTGTTATCATACAAATATACAAGAGGCATAGATTACCAAAAAAAAATAGTTGCCAGTTTTTGTTATCTGCTCTGCTAATTTCATCTTCAGTGTTTATTCGTTTTTGAGTTTTGACAATGTCAAGAATGACAAGATGATGGATTAAAAAATCCAGGAGATTGTACATTTCATTCAGATATTCACAATGCCGTATCTTAACATTTCAAATAATTGAAGCATGATTCTTGATTGAAGACTTAAAGATAGTTAGTGCTCGCGAGTGTTCTTAATTGCTGTTGTTTCTTTTCTATTTTGGCTTCAACTAAAGAGGTAAAGATGATAAAAGATAAGGTATAGTCACAAATAGGAGTGACTTATTGCAGATTGTCGTCATTAAAAATACTATCATTCTTCCCTTCTAGTCTCTAGCTAGTCCGTCCATGCATTCCGAGCGAATGGCAGTAAAACAGATTTATATCTTGCTTTGATGACATGTTTAGAACTTAAAAGTACAAACCTAACAGTTTAAAGAAAATCCTACAATCAAAATAATTTAGTATCGCCTTATCCCTTGTTCTTGTTTGGTTACTAATTCTGGGAAAGTTATCCTAAGATTAAAAATAGTACCAATATAATTTATACGTGTCAGAGGGTGGAACAGTAATCCTAAAATAAACTAGTAAAATTGACAATCTCAGAATTAATACTGTTTACCCGAAAAACGGATAGAGTTAAATTTATACGTAGTTCTAAGGATACGTGAAATAACTTGGCACAAATTAAAAAGTAAGTAGAAATATACTGAGTATTGACTGTATAAAGAATGAAATACAAACCAAACTGAGTGGAAAACGGTTTGTGAACAAGCAAGACGAATCAATATACAAAACCATAAAAAAAGATAATCTCTATATGAATATCAGTATGTTTTCTTCTGTGAATATCAATAACATGAGAGTGTATCAATGCCTTGATCTTGGATGCCTCTACAGAAATAGTAGCTATCCCTCTTATAGTGGAGGAATCTTACTTTAGATATAATTAAAAATACAGTGGGGATCGCATGATAGATTAGCTTTTTCCTAATTCCCGCAGAGATTCTCTCCCTTAGTGCGGCTGTAACGGCTCTTGTCTCTTGGCTCGATCTTGGTCAGATTTGGTATGTCGATTTCCAGATTTAGAGCTCGATATTGACTCGGAGCTCGGTATCGAATCGGGCTTGATATTGGTCGGTCTCTGGCTCTTAAGCTCGATGACACCGCTTCACTTCATAGTTCGATTTGCACTCGAGCTCGGTAATAATGACTTCGATCTCTGTATTTGATCGGTCCCAGAAATTCGAGCTTGGTAACCTGAATTCAAATCTTATCTCGATATTATGAAGATGACTTTCGGTCCATTATGTTCCAATCTTGACTAACCATAGAAAGGTCGAAACCGATTTTGACCGTATACAAATACAACATACCAAATAGTTAATAAAAAATAATATCAAGAATAATTAATTCCAGCGTAACTAATTTCAATATAACTAATCTCAACATAACTAATCCAAGCATAACCTGTATTCAAACCAAACCACCCCTTATAGTAGTATAGTGAAGGAAACAGAAATTCTGTCTAATGGGAGTCTTAATTTGTATTCAAAAACTGTTGTTGGTACCTGTTACACTTGGCTTTCATATCTGTTTCTTGGAAGTTGATGACAAGAATAGAACTAGTAATCATTTACCTACATAACTGAAATGGACAAAGAATCTATGCACCGGAATACCTACACACCTATATTAATCATATACTCAGCCGCGTTTCAATTTGTTTAAATATTTTTGGAAAACGAAGGTCAAATTCATGCTCCCTTCGTTTCAATTTATGTAAATTTATTTCTTTTTTAATTCTTGTAAAAAAAATAATTATTTTTCTTTTTTGAAAATAATTTACCTTTATGCAATGATTTATAGTCACACAAAACATATATGCCTCGTTTTACATCACAAGTTCAAAAGTCTTCTCTCTTTTCTTAAATTCCGTACCCAATCAAATGGGTTCACGTAAATTGAAACGGAGGTAGTAATTTTTTTCTGTGAAATTGGACATAAATTCTTTTAGTTTATCGAAATAAAGTTTACATATTTAGAAACTACATAAAAAATACGATAAATTACAATAATTAACAATTCAAAATATTTAAAAATTATTTACAAAAAAGATACTCAAAGAAAATCTTGTTTGGCTCTCCAAAAAGTAATAAGTTCTAATTTTTTTTATGGAAACAGAGCGAGTATGTTATAAGACAAACGTTATCCTCAAGAATGGGATTCATCATAAAACAGTTTTATTGGTGTTTTATTTTGTGAATTATTTATTAGCTAGTCTTATCTTGTGCAATGATAAGATAAATAAATTAATAAATAAATAACTGACTCTTCTAGATGGCTTTCATGACTTGTATAGAACCTAAAAGTCCAAAATAAAGGGAAAGTTTAATAAATACAAGATCTATAAGAGTTAATGACATAAAATACAACTAATTTTCATATTACAAATTGTGCAACTATATAATGTATATAATATTATTAAGTAGCATGTAACTCTTTAAAAACCCAAAACACTCCCCTCCGATCCACAGGCGGGATGATATACAAGCATTTAATTGGTTTTTTCTTCTTCTTGCAGCTCCGTATACTAACAGAATTAAAACTCTCTTTCTTTAAAATATACAAACTTGAAATATGCTAATGTGGTATACTAAAGCAACACTGTGTAAATATATTAAATATATTAATCATATAATATATATTAAATATATTGTTTATATGTAATGAATATTTTAACCATACTACATGTCGTAGATATTATCTATATTATTATAAAAATTTGAATACAATGTCGGTTTACAAAAATAAGCTTATAATATTAAGCATAATAGCTCATAATAAAAGAAAATAATCGAAATTCTAGATATTAGCCTTATAATACTATTAATTTTAGGACATAATAATACACGTTAGTAATCCTACATGATTACCTTTAGGAATCCTATTAGTATAATTACTTTCGGGCGGTCTAATTCATATAAAATTGAACAGGTAAATATCTTTAGTCATGTAATCCTATTACTTTTAGGATATACTTCTTAAAAATTCATATTACTAATTTAATTCAAAAACGTATTATAATGTCCTATTACTAATTTAATTTGAAAATGTATTATATTGTCCAAATCCATTTAGAAAAAGGAGAGCTAGCCTATTTTATTATAAAAGTATAAATACAATATTAATATACCAAAATAGCCCTAAAATATTAAGCAGAAGAACTCATAGAGAAAGGACATAACTTCAATAACCTATTTTTTGGACTACAATACCTTATTTGCTAATTTTTAAAATTAATAAAATTTTATCTATTAAATTCTTATTAAAAATATGTAGGAAGATTTAATAAAATTAATTTCATAAGAATTCTCTGTATTGGCAATACATTACCACTCCATAATGTCCAATACCAAAAAAAGATAAAAGTAATATTAAATGGACTACATACAGAGTTGAAATTGAGAAAAAATACCCCAACGATAATATATTTTTATATTATATTTGAACTATTTTATTACTCAAATAATATTTTTTAATCAATTTTTCATGTAATATTGAAAAATACCCAATTATTAAACAACAACTAAGAAAATATTTAAGAATATAAATGTGTGAGAAAGAGAAAAAAATAATTTGTAAGAGTCAATACCACTAATGATTCTACAAACATAAAAATCTAAAAGTGAAATGTTATATCAATCTTTTACTCTTTTGAAAATAAAATTTATAGTGGATAAAATTATAATTAAGATTTAATATTCAAAACAAGCGATGAAATATTAAGATCTAAATCAACATAGAATAAATTATTTTTTATGTTAAAATCAAATAATTAAATCTTTAATTAATTATTTAGCAAGAGAGTCCAATTCAGTTATTTTTTATAGTATAATTCTTATTCAAGTTAAAAAACATATCTTAGGATACATGTATTTATTCCATAAAAAGAGTGTTAGAACACAAAGTAAAAATGTTAGTATATTATTAAGAATCAAAATGTCATACAAGTGAGTGAAGAAGCACAATCAAAACTAAATCATAATCAAGAACAATCTTTCAAAACTATATTATAAAGAGTCGACTCTGGTATAATGAGATTATTCTTTATAGATGTCTCCGGCGTAATCGAAATAATATTTATATGTCATGCATTACTTGCAAATATCATATCAAGAGGCGTGATACTATTAGCAATAATAGCAAGTGGTTTACCAACGACGATTTTATTATGATGCCACCCACTTTAGATTTGATATACCTCTTCAAACAACTTAAATAACCATTACAAATATATCAAAACATAGCAATGATACTAAATTTGTCAGGAAAGCAAAATTGATAATATTGTATGAAGCACTTATGGCAAAGTGTCAAACAATCGAAATAATTGCCCATAGTTCTTATCAATGAACCGTTTGGTAGAAAATTAATGGTTTGGGAGGTGATTTCTATCAAGTACTACCAGTAGTTCTAAAATCGATAAAAGTAGAGACTGTAAAAGCTAGCTTGCCAAAGTTATACTTCTGGCCTCAAATGAAATAAGATTCAACTCACAAGAAATATAAAGTAAGAACAAATCCAGTATTTAGTGTCTTCTTACTTTATGTCGGAAACAAAAAAAAGCATCCAATAAAAGATGATTTGGTTTTTCCTAAACACTTCGTTATCAATCCCAATGGTAATAATAGTACATTTAATAATAGAAATATTTCTATCATAAGATTAAAATATATTTTGTGCAAATCGCAGGATATAATTAAAAACATATCTTAATTAGCTTGCAAAAATACATATATTGATCAACTAAATAAAAGGTTGATTGCAAAATTGTATAATAAAAATAAAGTGTTTTTCAGTTTTTGACTCAGTAGAAAATGATACCAATAATTACTACCATAAAAAATACTTAAATACTTTAATAACAAATGGCCTTCTACCATACATGTTTGTTGTCAAGTTTATTATTTCTACCGTATTTTAGTGTCACC